GTTGTCAGTGCTTACAAACCAGTGTGTGATTTGCAGACCTGCCTTCTCTGGTGCCTAAAGAGAAGTTAGAACCATCCATACATTATCTAATACTTGTGTACTTAACTGTTTACTCCTTCAAAGGACTCCTATGGCCACATTGTTGAGGTTGTTGAGTGCCACCAGTAGTACCACTCATAGTGACCTGATGAAACTCGTTTTGAACTCTGTCCTATCCTGCATCATCCTCATCGCCCTTGACACATTTGAGTCCATTGCTGCAGAGACTGCATCGATCCATCTCAGTGAGGGTCTTCCTCTCCTCCAAAGACCCCTCACTTTTCCGAACACGATGCCCTTTCCCAAAGAAGAGCCTCTCCTAACACCATGCTCAAAACAGGCCCATAATGGACCCTAGTAAAATAGAAAATGTTGAGAAAAAGGTCCTTTCCCGACAGAAGAGAAACTCTTTTTTTAACTAAGTACTTGTACTGATTAAATTTCCATGGTAAAGTTCATTTTCTTGATATGGAAAAAAGTACTCCAGGGCAGGAGAAAATATGGGCAAATTTCTTGTTATTTCTTGTTTGTTGTCATATGACATTCAGTGTACCATAATTCATAGCCACCTGAAAATGTGAACCTTGCCCAATCCTGTACCATCCTCAAGATCTTAGTCATGTGCCAGCCCATAGTCATAGTACTGTGATGGTGTTGTCGTTGTTATGTGCCATCAAGTTACCTGCAACTCACAACAACACTATGTCTAATAGCTCTGAATCCTGTTCTATCAGGAGCCATTCTCACTCTCCTGACACACCTACCCCTATTACCCCAGTTACTGTGTCAATCCATCTCATCTTAGACTTTCCTCTCCTAGGTTGTCCCTCCACCCTTCTAAGCAAGATGTTCTTCTCCAAAGACTGGTTCCTCCTGGCCATGATCACAAAGTATGTGAGACAGAGCTTCAAAATCCTTCCTTCTATGGAGAAACTTGGTTTCACACTCTCCAGTACAGACCTGCTTATTCTCTTGGCATTCCAAGATATGTCGAATACTCTTCTCCAGCACCACAACTAGAAGGCATTAATTCTTTTCTGTCATCCTTAATCGTTGTCCAGCTCTCTGATGCATAGCAAGTAATTGTGAAGACCATGGACTGAATCAGGTGTACCTTAGTCTCTAGACTGACACCATTGCTTTTTAGCACTTTGGAGAGGTCCCTGACAGCAGACTTTCCCAATATTGTGATGTTGTTGCTGTTGTTATGAGCCATCAAGTCGCTTGCAACTCATAGCCATCCTATGTACAACAGCTCTGAACCCTGCTTTATCTTGCACCAACCAAACTCAGGATTGTATTTTAAGTATAGTATATGCAATAGTTAAATTTCTAAATCCACAACTTTAGTCTCATTCTTGACATCATGTTTTCCCAGCCTGCAAAGCTGATTGAATCTTCTGATTAATATTTGTTTTGTTCTCACACCCCATTTCAGCTTCTCTGCAGTCATGCAGATTACCTTAACGCAATTGCCTGTTTGTGGAAAAGTGAAATTTATTTTTCTGAATTAATGTTTGTCATTTGCAAACTGCTTTTTTCAGCTTTAGGTAAACTGTACCTTAAGCTGTCTCCCAGGAAATAAAATTCAGTGCAGGTTTCAGAATTAGCATTTATCTCTGTAAGACTGTTTTTCTTTGCCTTGTTTGAACTTTATATTAAAATGTGTGTATTTACAAGAAATTTTATGTAAAACTGACAGTTGAATGTAAGATACCTGTATCTTTGGCGTAAAGATAATATGTTAAGTAAATTAGTACTTGACCCAAGCATAAAAGCTAATAACCATTTTTAGAATGAGAGGCAGTCTTTAAGGGATACTTCACTCCTTCTCAGATCTGAAAATTAAAATGCTTTGAATATTGCAATCCCTCTCAGTCACACTGGTACACATTACTCTTAAAATGGACCTCTGTGTAACCACCACCAATTGTGTCTATCCGTGTTACTGAGTGTGGTTTTCCTATTTTGAACCAGCAAACTTGAAATGACAGAAAAATAAGATGCCTTAAAATAATCAGGATAAAAACAGTAACTAATGATCATCATAGTAGCTGGAGTACAAAGTAGAACTGAGAATCTAAGGCAGCCATTAACATATATTATGCTTCTTACTCTTTAGAATAACTCATATATATATCTGTCCAAGTGTTCAGGTCTTTCATTCATAGGGTCACGGTGAGTCATCTACGACTTGACAACACTTAACAACAATAACAACAACAACAACAACGAGAGAGTTACATTGGCCTAGTAGACAGAAAGTTATGCTACTAAGCCCAAGGTGGGTGATTTCAATCTGCGGCCGTCAGGACTGGTTTAAATTGTTTTTCTGTCAAACATTTTTCTAAGTGATATAGCACTGAGCTGTGCATTACTGTACAGAGGTAACTTGTGGTTGCTGTGATGCCAAACACGGTGACACTGATGTGTCAAATGTGGTAATGGTTACCCATGGTGGACAGAGTTTAGTGGAGCTCCCCGATTAAAATAAGCTTGGAAGCAGGAGTGGCATCCACTTCTGAAATAGCTTGCCTCCAGAAACCCTATGAACTTGGAGAAACGATGAAAATTATACAAGCGTTCAGGTCTTTCATTCATAAGGTCGCTATGAGTAGCCTACAACTCAACAGCACTTAACAGCACAACAACTATATATATATACACACACACACATATATATATACATACACGTATATATGCATACACACACACACACATATATATTTCTGCATATTTGTATTTTGGAAGTAGATTCTAAACTGCTAATTTAAATAAGAGCGTACTACTGAAAAATGTATATTTTCTGTTTTACATCACTCAGTGTCAAGTTTTTGGGCAGTGAATACTTCAGTCTATCATTAACTGAAAATGCATTATTGAGATTAGTTGGACTTTCATTTACTTAGTTGCCCCATGAAAGATATTTGCAAAGAACTTACAGGTGTAATTACTACTAATATTGGGCTACAAAAATAAATAATAAGAGCATGAAGTCACAATTTTCTTTTAAAATATTCTACTCCTTTTTCTTGACAGTAGAGCTACCAGTATAATTGTGTTTCTCTGATATCTGACAAAATCTCTTGGATTATTACGTCTGTATGAAAACATTGATTTTTTTCTCTGTACAGATTCTGTACATTTTATTGTAATACTTGAGTTACATGCCTAACTTTACTATCAGCCTCAAAAATTCCGTTAAACACACAAACTGACTCTCAAACGTGATATTCAAGATACAAAAAAAGTAGAAAAGAGACCAGACCTGTTTAGTCTAAAAATACTTCTTAAAGATACTTTTAGATCCCTCTCTCTTTACTTCAGTGTAATTTTAGAAATA